CAAAATTGGGAACGAACTTTGGCTCCCCAGATTCAGGAGTGGGAAAACTGCCAAAATAATACTATTAATGGTCTCCGTATAAATGAGGGTGTAGACCTTGATCATAATTATAATACTTGGTTCAATCGCATTAGTAGGAGATTTCTCACCAGGGCAGGAGCATCATATTATTTGGTAATTAACATCATAACTAAATTTTTATATCATCTTATTTATCAGTATGAAACTTGTTTTCATCTTTTTTCCAGAATGTCGTGCCCAATATGATTGATAGCGGTAGAATATATTTATCTAATATTACCAAAATATATCGATCGATGCAATTTGAAGGAGTCATACTTGATCGTAGTAGAAGACGACAACGAAGAGGAGCTAATATCCTTGATGATGATCCAAATGACCAAGAATAGAAATTAGGTTAAGTCTTAATTTTTTCTAAGAATTTTGAGGTTTGTTTTATTGTAATCAATGAAATTTCAAGACATGCAATTTCAATTTTAACTATGTATTTATTTTTATGAATTTTGATGTTCGTATTTATGAAGTATATTTAATCGAAATTTTAAAAATTTAGATAAGTTATGAAGTTTGAGTTTAGATTTTATCATAAATAATTTTAATTATTAAGTTAATAAAAATACGAAATACATATGTTAATATAAAATAATAAAATATTTTATTTAAAAAAGAAAATATTTTTTCTTGAATATTTATTAATATAAAGTAATGAACTCTTAACCTAAAATACTCACAAAATAATATAAATCGATAAAACAATTAATTCAAAAGAAAAAAAATGTAGCGATGTCCATTCAACGAACACCGACGACGTATGCATCCCTCTAAGATGAGATGTGAGTGAGATTGTTTAATACGAACATCGTAATTAGGGTGTTTAATAAAAATTAGGATGAGATGTGAGGGGAAGTAAAAACAAAATTAAAAAAAAAAGAAAAAAATGCTACATGCATCTCTKAGACGCATCTAGTCCCATGACGGAGTAACGGGAACACCCGTCCCTCTGTCAGACGGACTTGTTACTCCGTCGAACGGACCTGTTACGCCGTCTGAAAGTCCGTAATGGAGCGCTGAATGTGTCTCTTAAGAGACACAGTCGAATAGACAGACGCAATACCCTATTTCCCCAAATAATTCAAAAGTCACCCATTTTTTTCAATTTAGTTTGAAAATCCCTTCAGTTTTTCAAAAAATTCTCAAAGGTCATATTTTGTAAAATCTCCTTATTAAAAAAAATTGTAAAATTTGTTCACAGTTAAAAAACACATTTAGTCATACTTTTGCTAATTGCATATATATATATTAAGAAGATTTTAATGAGATAAAAAATAACAAAACATTGACAAATTATAAATATATAGATTAATTTTAAAGGAAACTGACTTTGGAACTAAAGTAAATGTCATGCCATTATTTTATCTCATACGAAACACAAAACAAAATAGATTTCTTAATTTTCTAAATTTAGCCTCAATTTATAATTGTCATTTTTTTTGGAAATTAATTAAATGGATAGTTGGTCTCCAAATATTGATAGGACTAACAAATAATGATTTAACTTTAAGTGACACGAGAGAACAGACCATCATCTTATTAAATTTAATATACCAAGTTATTCACTCCATCCAATTTTTTCGCTTACAATTCTTATTTTATGTAGATGACATAACTCTAAATCATATTATGCAGTCGTTAATTTAATTAATGCGTGTGAGACTTAATATTATGGAGCTCATTTGTTAGTAAAAATAAAATTAAAAAATTAAGTTTAAACATAAAAATTGAAATTTAACATTAACAATGTATTATCTTAAAAAATAAAAATCGGAAAAAAGGAAAGAAGGGCAGGTTGTGTAATTATGAAGACTAAATTTGACAGCTGTTCTGTTAGAGTTACGGAACGCCGTTTCGTAATCCGCCAATGCATTTTGCATTCAGAAGTTGAGAGAGAGACGAAGAACAGAGAGCGAAAAGCGCGCAAATAAAATCAAATTCCGTAGAGAATTCCTACTCCGATGAGGATCAGGATTCCAAATTCTACACAAAATTTCTTTTACGATGAGTATCAGGAAGATGAAGCCTCCGCCATGGCTATATATTCTGCTACCTCGCTCGTTAATTCTTTCTCATCGCTCTGTTCAATTCCATCGGTTTTCTTTGCTCTGAAGTAATTAATAATCGAATCGAAGATGGTGAACGCCACTGTTGCCCGCAATATCGTCGGCATTATCGGTAATTTTTCACTCTAATCGCTTTAATTTAATGGAAGCTTTCAAGTTTCTATAATGTTCTTCTCTGTGTGAAATAATTTGATGAACGAAGATTATATCCGATTCGATCTTCTCTTTCCCTTATGATCGCCGCCTGATTTCAGTGTTTCTTCTCCATATTTTCTTTCAGCTTTGATGAACACATTCAACTGATTTCAGTGTTTTTTTTTTTCCTTTTATGCTAAACTGAACTCTGGTGCATAATTTAATTTATATAAACTTTAACAGTTTGGTTTTGAATTATAAGGAAATTTGTTTTTTTGATTATTTTTATTCATTTTCTCTCTGAATTGTGTGCAGGTAATGTCATCTCCTTCGGCCTCTTTTTCTCCCCGCTGTAAGCTCTCTCCACCAACTCCTAATTTCTTTTACATCTTTTATCTTTAATTAAATTATAAGTTTAAGCCTCTAAACTTTGGTCATATATATGGGATGGGATGCAGACCAACATTTTGGAAAATCATTAAGAGGAAAACTGTGGAAGAGTTCAAGCCAGATCCTTACATTGCAACGGTTCTAAACTGTATGTTCTGGATCTTCTATGGAATGCCTTTTGTTCATCCTGACAGTGTTTTGGTCGTCACCATTAACGGTATTGGCCTTGTTATTGAACTTGCATATTTGGCCATCTTCGTCTTCTTTGCTGATAACAAAGGACGAGTAAGTTTTTTTTTCTTTGCTAGTGTTTTTCTAAAATTGAATTTAATTACTAATTTAATGTTTAATTTGCTCTTATTTCAGAAGAAAGTGGGTGTTTGTCTTCTGATCGAAGGCATATTCGTGGCTATCATTGTTGTCATAACCATGTTAGTTTTGCACGGAACCAAAAATAGATCACTAATGGTTGGAATAATTTGTGACATCTTCAACATCATGATGTATGTTTCTCCCCTAACCATCATGGTAAGTAAATTTCAATTCAATTTTCCATTTATCCCTCCTAGTAGTGATTTTAACATGTAATATTTTTCATGAATAAGAATAAGATTAAATTATATTTTATTATTTCAACAGAAAAAGGTGATAACGACAAAGAGTGTCAAGTATATGCCATTTACTCTCTCATTAGCCAACTTTCTCAATGGTTGCATTTGGACAGCTTATGCCCTTGTCAAATTTGATATCTATATGTTGGTACGTACACTCTTTCCCTTCTAATACAAATTTTAGCAATCCTTAACAAATATCAATATTTCCTAGATTCTTCTATCTTTGAGTTTTAAAGTTTGACATTTTATATCGACATTTAAGTATTTGAATAAATGTTTTTGACTTGACCAACGTTTTAACTGAAAATTTTGTAGATAAGCAATGGTGTTGGGGCAGTCTCAGGTTTTCTCCAACTTATTCTATACGCATATTACTCGGTGTGGGGTTCAAAAGATGAAGAAAACACAGATAAAGAACCTAATAGGATTCAACTCTCTACCATGCGAGGACGATGTGAAGTCTAAAGATTCAAATGTCATTTTTATATATTTCTTTTAATAGGGAAAACATTATTGTTAGTTTTCTTTCTTTCTTTCTTTTTTTCTTTTTTTTTTTAGTAGAATTGGGTTAATGTGTCTTTTTGTTGGTCATATAGTTATTATTGTTTTTGGATTTTGGTTATAAATTTCTTCTATTTCATTCATTTCAAGATTTAAAATATATAATATATATTATTTCTGTACAAACTAATGGTGTTGGATCTTTTACTTTCTTACCAATTTTTTTATTTCCATTATATTATCTTTTACATTTAGTACTCTTTTGTTATCTTTACATCGAAATATGATAATTTTAGATAAACTAGTAGATATAGGTAAATTTAAGACTTTAGATTAAAATTTTAAATAAATTAAATGAACCCTATTTCAATGTAACAAAATCAGAATGCATGCCAGCAAAATATATTCTCTTTTTTTGTTCTTGATATTAGTATAATAAATTATTTTTTAATTTTATGACTGATATTCAATTTCAACCGAAAACAGTAGTAGAAGGGAAAAAAAAGGTTAATGGTCTGCCCAGAGGCTTTCTCATAAGATTTCAAAATGCGTTTCATTGATTGACAATCCTTCGCTGCCATCTTGAAAAAAATTACTGTCATCTGCAAAAAAAAATAAATGAGAGATAGTTGGACAATGCTTATTGATGCGAAAACTAGTTAATAGGCCTTGTTGTTCTCTATTGATAAGGGCAGACAACCCTTATGCACATAATAGAAATAGATAAGGGATAAAGGATATCCTTATCGAAGACCCCGTTTTGGTTGAAATCTTGCTCCTTGAACGCCATTGATCAGCACAAAAAAGTTGACTGACTGCATAACAAGAGAAATCCATCTTTGGCAGAAACCCAATTTCTCCGTAACCTGTCTCATATACTCTCATTCAACTCTATCATAAGCTTTAGACGTGTCTAGTTTTAGCAATGTGACCCTGTGCTTTCCTTTCCTCTTTTTGTTTTTCAAATGGATGCACTCAAACTTGATTATGGCATTATCTATTATACTTTGTCTCTGAGACAAAGGTCGATTGAGTTGGAGCTATGATCTCATCTAGAACCAATTTTAGCATGTTTGTGAAAGTTTTGACAATAAATTTATAAATCATGATCTTCTGATCAGAGATAGGTGTCTTAGCCACTTGAGGTATGCTCGGTTTGACATAATAATAAATTATTACTTGATAAATGTGATACTCAAATTCAACCCTAAATTAAAAAAATAAATACGCCACCAAATAATAGAAGCTCATGATATATATAGTTTTTTCTATATAAAAAATAAAGAATCATAATAAAAAATTTTCACTAACAACCTTGTCAAAATTCAATTAGTTAAGGCACATATTAAATGAACCCTATTTCAATATTAAAAAAAAAAAACTAGAGTTTAGATTTTAAACTTTAGATTAAAATTTTAAATAAATTAAATGAACCCTATTTCAATATTAAAAAAAATCAGAATGCATTCAAGCAAAATTTTTCTTGATATTAGTATAATAATTTTTTTTAAAATTTTAATGACTGATATTCAATTTCAACCGTGATAAGTTTAAAAGGAAAAATAAATTCTGCAGCCAGAAAGAAAACAGTAGTAGAAGGGAAAATACCTCTCTATGCGGTGTTTTAACAGTTACTTAATTCCAGTTATCTAATAATCGCCTCAACAATTTTATACAACACGAATATATGAGATACATTAATACATATACTTCAAATTAAATTATATTATCCACCTGTTAAAAGTATCCCACTTGAGTATAACTTAACTGATTAAAGCATATATTTTCGACTAAATAAAAATTATGGGTTCGAAGTCTCACCCAACATGTTGTTGTATTTCAAGAAAAAAAATATCGTCTAAAGTAATTTACGGTGACAACCAAATTGGTTTTTTTTTTTTTTTTCAATTGGACCAAAATATAATAATTTTCAAAGTTGAGGACGAATCTAAATTTGCACCAATTACATTTGTTCCACGAATTTCCATTCTTCAAAATTTTGTGTATTCAAATACCTACCATCTAACATTTTTCGTTTTTATTCAATTAATTTTTCATTTTTAAATATTTTTCTTAATATATATATATATAAACCTACTCTATATATTTATAAACCTACTTTTTTAAATTTGAAATACATAGTTTATTTTTAATAAAAAGATAACTAATTTGGACTCTCTTTATCAAATTTTCATTTAAATTTGAACTAGATTCCCTTTCACGAATTTAAATCTATACATGGGCACAATAGTGTTGCCTAAATAGCAAAAGGGAGAATTTTCCAAATCTCTAATTAAAAAAATATATATATATAATTCAAAATATGCTAATGTAATTTATGAACTTTTTATTATAGAAGATTTTCGAACTAAGTATTTCACTAACTTAAGCATAACTCAATAGGTTAAGACACATATCGTCAATCGAAAGATTGTGAGATCAAATTTCTAACTTGCCCTTTATAACCATTTTGGTTTTTGGCTTTTAGTTTTTTGTTTTTAAAAAACAAAAATCATATATGTTTGATGACTATTTTTTGTGTTTTGTTTTTTAACAGAGTAATCATTTTTAGTTTTATATTTTTAAAAAGTTAGAAAATTGAAAATGTATATTAGAGAAAGAAAATTATATGTAGAGTAGAGATGACAATGATGTTAGGTCAGGAATGAGGATCATGTCCTCTCCCATTCTTGTGCTCGTGAAAAAATTTTTGTCCTCATCCCCACCTTGTTTTTTGGTCCGGGAATTGAGATTCAGGTTAAAGAATCTTTATTTGTGGATGAGAATATTCGCAGGAAAAATTGCCAGTTTTATAATTGATTTTAATTATTTTAGAATTTAAAAAATAAAAAAGTGTAATGAATATATATTAATTATTTTTAGAATTATTATAAGCTAKTATAAGTAATTAKTTTTTTAAAAACTATATAATATTTTATTCACAATTTAGTAAATATGTCAATAAAATATATATTAATTATTTAAAAATGTAATCGGGGATCGGATCGGGGCATGCATTTCCTATTTTTGGAATGGAGACCCGATTTTTCGGGAATTTTTTTCCACTCCTAAGACATGAAAATACAAGTTTAGAGAGATGGAAATTAACTTTTGAAAGAGAAAGTTTAGAGTGATTAAGAAAAAAATTGAGAAAAACATAATTAGTCAAATAAAAGTTAAAGACAAAAAGAAAACCAATTTTAGAGATAAAGAGCAAAGCCGGGAGGAAAACTTATGTTGAAGAAAAAAAATAAATTAGAAAGAAAAATAAAAATTATACTAAGAAAAAATTTAGAGATAAAAACAAGGTTCGAAATATACTTATTAGAAAAAATAAATAAATACAAAGAGAAATAAAAAGTTATAGTGAAACAAAATTGAACGAGAAAAGAAAATATAATTCTCAGAGGAAAAATAGATTAGGAAGAGAAAGAAAAGTTATAAAAGACGAAATTTTTAGAGAGAGAAAAGTTGAAAAAATATTAAATTTTTAGAGAGAGAAATTAGAGTGGTAACAAAAAAAATAAAAATAAGATGAAAATTTTGGAGAGATAGAAATAATGACAAAATTTTAAAATATTAAAAAAAAAACAAAAATAGAAAACGAAAGGATTACGAAGGGGGTGTTAAGTATTTCAAAAACTAACACAATTATCTCAAGAATCTTACGGTAATGCCAACCATAAAACTAGGTTAAAAAACACATTTCGTTATTGTATTCTCGCTAAAGTAACAATTTAGTCTCTATGGTGAAAAAATTTATTAAAATGAAGACTTCAATTTAATTTTTCTAATTTATAAACATAACAAACTTTATGTATATCAATTTTTCATTGGTCTATCAATTTATGTATATAACGAACTTAAAGAAAAAAAAACTTCACAATGAAGAAATCAATATAAGCTTTAAATTACAACGACTAAATTGTTACATATTAAAGTCTGGCAATTAGATTGTTACCAATTTAAAAGTACATGGACTACATCGTTACAAACTAAAGTTTAAGGACTAAATCGTTACTTTAATGAAAGTATAGAAACAAAACAAAAAAGCTTTTTAACCCATAAAACTATTTGAAACAAAGAAATCAAATAATAAGTAATAACAAATATATAAGCTTAATTATTTAATTTGGTTGATGTTATTTATTAGTTTTATAGTTTTTAGATTAATTTACACAAATATATAATATTTAAAGATGTTTTAAAAAATTTAACCGAATATTTATCTTGCTCGTTGTTCAATTATAAATTTAATCGATAAACATCGACTATTATCCCTATATGGTCTTTAAAATTGTAAATATATAAGTGTACTCTCAACTTGTGAGCTACCCATATTCTACGAGTGCCATAACACTTCATATTAATTCCAGGATACTTTCACATTCTTTTTTACGTCCCCATGTCCCTCCCGTGTGGCGACATGGGGACGAATTTTGACTATTTTTTTTTTGTTGAAGGGACGGATTCTTATTATATAAATGAGGATAATTACCTCCATTAATAGAGATCTTATGATGAAACCAAAATTAAAGTCGGGAGGGTACACAATATCATATCAAGATATGTGCGAAGTTGATTGTTTTTAACAAAATGGTATTACTTTTTTTAAAAAAAAAGGTATTAAGAGAGGAGCTCAAATGGTGTGATAGTGATTGACACCATGTATATCCCATCCTCTTTGTTTCTAATGAATTAATTACATAGAATTTTAATTTAACTAAACAATATTTAAATATTTATGATAATTAATTGATTATAGTTGATTTATGTTTAATTAATTTATTTAAATAGTTAATTGATTTAGTTTAGATTCAATTAGTTGATTTTTAAATAACTAATTAGATTTGATTTATTTAATTAGTTAATTGATTTCAATTTTAATTTAACTAAATAATATTTAAATATTTATAATTTAATTTAATAATTAGTTTAGATTTAGTTTGAATTAGATTTAGATTTTTTTTTGACAGGTACAAATAAACGAAACTAGGAGAATAAAGGACAAC